CAAGTCAGGTCATTGTCGGGGATTGTGAAGCGTGACACATCCGCGGTCTCGACTTGGTCGATCGAGAGGTTCGCCAATGTTCCCTTCTTGATGGCCTCCGTCGTGGTGCCACGTATGCTAGCCGAGACGGCACGAACGTCTGCGTTGGCCAGGTCGAGCTGTGCGGCGTGGATTTTGATGCCACTGGTTCTGCTCTGCGTCTTGCGGGCGTGATCCCTCGTGTTGAACTCTTCTCGCCGCTGGTGTAAATCGAGCATGAAGCTATCGAAGCGTACCTTCAGGCCAGTTGCAGATACCGCACTTTCGGAGTAGTCTTCCACATCCTTATGCTTGTAGATATGACTGAGAAATAGGGGCGCCAGCAGGAGATTGTACTTGATGGTCGCGAGGTGCTTGCCAAATTTCTTGCTTGTCCTCTCACGACCCGGCCAGAGCGGTCCTTGGCGGATCGGCAGCGACATGGGACCCCCAAAGAGCGACCACCAGGCGAAAAAGTGTGTGAAGAAGCGAGGAGTACAGTGCACAGCATTGTAACTGCGTGACGGTGCAGGATTGGTCGCCAACCAATCCCTGTCGCCCGGTGCTCGAACAGCAATGGAGAGATGAATATGGCTGCTCCTGAAGCCGCGGAAGGCATCGTAGGCAAGGCCATCTTCTCCCTGCGCGTGCTGAGGCGCTCGCAGTACCACGTCGTAGTGCGGCTTGAAGTCAAAACTCCGCTTACCTTCTTGGATGGCTTGCTCGAACACCAGTCCGGTCATCCACTGCACCTTGCCGGATAACTTCATAACCACCTTTTTGAAGGTGATGCCATTCTTGTAGCTGTCATCAATCAGGTTGCTGTCCTCGTCTCCTGTACGGCGATTAGACTCTCTGACTTGGTGGCTGTAGTCAGGAATGGCCAAGACGTATTCTCCAGAGTCGACCGTCATGAATCGTTTGGGGTCGTCATCAGCATTGACGTTCCATCGAATGTTGTTGCGCCAACACATGATGAAACCTGCACCGTTGCCTGTGACACAGTACGGATCGCGCGTTCCCTTGAGAGCGAGATGCAAGTCTCCGTCGCCTCTCCAAGCAATGTGTATCCTGGAATGAAAGTTGAGTCGAATTTTATCCCAGAAACCAACTCGTTCTGACGGGTCCACCTGCGGCTTGGTGAAGGACTCAATGACCATCATCATGTCTTGAATTGCCGGCTGATAGCAAGGCCCTCCCCAAGTAATTCTCGTTGGCAGCGACGTGTTGATGTCGATTCGCATGTCTGAGAACGACTTGATGGGTCCGATCGTACGACGGACGTCAATGGCAAAGCCACCTTCCTGGCCGACATCTGACTCTAGCGTTCGCGGAGGAATAATATTGACCTTAATGTGGCGCGTCGATTTCTTGCCGCGATACTCTTCCGCAATGACAAAGTTCGTCCTGAGCGACATGGCAGACTGTCTTGCTGGTTGGCCAGGCTTGAGGCCCGGGATGTGGATCAGGGGCAACGGGTAGTCGCGAAGAGTGACTCTGGCCTCGCCGATATCTATGCTCACGTGCATGGGGACCAACAGGCCATACTTCATGTCCTTCGGCATGCCCTTGCCTACCGAGTGAATGAAATCAGGCAGATCCTTCATCGGAAACGTAGGCTTGTCAATGAGGAGGTGCAGGTCGGTGATGATGGCAGCCATGAGTGCAGGGCGCTGGGGTACCTCAAGAATTCTCTCGGCTTCTTCCAAGTCGTCAGGAAGATGATCGGGGCCCCAGAAGAGGCCGCGCAGTTCACGCATGCTGTTCTTACCCTGTGCGTAGTGACGATCGATGCGCTTCTTCCAGCTCGTGGCGTTGTAGGCGTCGAGCTTCTGGCGAGCCTCCTGCTCAGCAATCTTACTGCGACCTGTGATGCCAAGCGAGCCACCCTCGGGGTCGTATCTCGGCTTTCTACCCCTGTCGGGTTCGTCACTCGCACGGCGTCGACCGTCAACGCTTCGGCTCCTGGGCTCAGAAGCGCCGTTCTTGCCACGCCCTTTATGAAACAGAGAGCGAGCGCGGTGTTTGTTGTGCGAGTCTCTGCGCGACTCTTCCTCGCGGATTTTCTTCCGCTTGAGCTCGAAGGCCTCCTCCCGGGCAAGCCTTTGCATCTGCTCTACACGACCTGCACGGTAGATCATACCGAGATTCCATTCGAAAGCACCATCCTCAAGCTCGAATAAGAAGGTCTTGGTCCGAATTGAGACTTTGGGGACGTTTTTGGGGGCCTCAGGCTGCTTGTCGAGGATGTACTCGTTCGTACCTGTCTTGAAGCGGTGGTGTAGTTGGAGCACTGACTTGTACACATTGGTGATATTGTCAGAGATCTTGCTGACAATCACTTCATGTGGAACAGCGAATCGGGTCGCGTCTGCAGCAATATCGAACATACGTTCCTCTTGAAAAGCACCCGATGATGTTTTGCGCCTCGATATTCGGTGATCGATCCGACCTCCTTTGATGCACAGCAGCCTGGCCCAGACGCCGCGAATGCGCGGTAGCTGGACACACAAGCGAATCTGATTATAGATTAAGAATGGTGCAGACCACCTGTGGCGGCCAGCCTCGACTCCGTAAATCTGAAGCAACAGCCTCGGGTCGTGGGGCATATCTGCCTTCACCTGAATCATGGCTGCCTTGAAGTCGACTGTAACGAGCTCTTGCGTGATGGTCGACATGTCACTAAAGTCCATTGGCATCTCGGGAGAACCGGGCGGAACAAGAAGGTCACCAGAGAGACTGGCTCTGGAGCCTGGCGGTGATCTCAAGGGAGTTGTGTCCGATCTCGTCTTTACAAATGCTTTGCGCAGAACCATTCCGGCCACGGCAACCGAATAATGACGGTACAGAGAGTATTGCAGCAAAATCGTGCGAACACTCGCATGAATGTGGAAAATGGGGCCTTGCTGGTCGCTTGACGTTGAAAAGGCAACCTCAAACCGAGGCATGTTGACAAATGGCTCAGCTTCGGCGCGATCCGCGGCCTCCACAATGTATGCCTCAAGGCCTCGAACGTGCAAGGCGACACGCCTTCCATCGCCCGCATTTTGCTGTTTCTTGCGTGGTGAAAGGGGCGCCTTCAGGAGATCTGCATCAGGCGCAACAGTACGGCTATTAGCTCGCCGACGAGAAGGACGCCGCTGCAGCCCGTCCAGTCGTTGTGCTCTATACTCAGACGTGAACGAGTCTAGTTGAAGCGACACACCGCGGGTGTCTTCTGATATTTCCTCATCAATACCGGCGACTTCGAGGCTCACGTCGGTAGCCTGCATCTGGAACTGCAACAGCCAGTCTGGCATGCCGCGGAGAAAGTTCTGATTTCGAAGCGTTTTGGAGACGACGCGCTTCTTCGGCTCAACATTGAGTCGGAGTTGTCGGAAGATTTGCCTGAGACCGTCGGTGATTTCAGGACGCACCATCTTGATAGCAAAAGTGTCAATGCTGCCTGAAGCCACAACGTGGACATCTGGCGCGGCACTGAGCTGTACCTTCAGATCAAAGCTTTCCGTATCAACAAGGTTGAATCGCTCTCCGTTGGAGGTTTGATAGTACAGATGATGAGATTGCAGTCGCATGGAGGACGCTAGGGAATAATGAAGCTCTTGTAAAGCTGAGTGAGAGGATTCCATATCCATGGATATGGACGAGATGTGGGAGATGATGAGGTCAAAGTCGTCGTCTGCGGCAGCCTTGTCCACAGGTGGTAGCGCTATCCTGACTACCGGCTCATGCATCGTGAACTTGATGTTCGCCTTTGGCAGGAGCCTCGAAATCAGCACATGACCTGGCTGCTGCCCCATCCTATGGGTCTTGGGCCTCTTTGGTCTTTGAGGCTGAAGAATGGCAATCAACAGCGGCAAATGTCGAGGGTCGATGTCGACAGATGGTGATGTGATGACAGAGTTTGCGAAAAGAATATTCGCGTTTTTGTCTTGCGCCGTGTCATCCCGAGCCAGCTCGACCGTTTTGGATGGCAAGGTCGTTTTGACTGTCGTTGTCGTCATGGGAATGTAAATCAGGCGTTCCGGCTTTCCATGGCCATCATCGAGTCCAATTGATATGGACAGAGCCGCCGCCAGGGCTTCATGTGCAATATCCTTGGATGGAAAGTACATTCTGTGGGCTGGTGATTTCGGATCCAGGCGATGAAGATCTACACCGACCTCCTTCATGGAAGCGTTGAGCAAAACTGGCGCAGCATTTGGCTTGACAGTGTCGACCTTTTTTGTCAATCCAACAAAACTAACGGCGAACTGAACCTCCTTGACGCCTCTGAGAATCGAGCTGACAAATTCCTTCGAGTCGGACACCGTCTGCATGATATCTTCCTCTGTGAGACCGGGGTCGGTGGATTCGCGCTCGGCCTTCCCAGCAAAGAGGTCAGGCGACTCATTCAGACCAAATGAAGGCGATCTCTGGGTTCTGCAGCGCTTGAAACGCTGGACGCAGAGGTGAACGTCGTCGTAGGGGATGTGAATGCGGTTCAGCTTGAGGGCAATCGAGGCGTCTCTCAGGCCGTCCAGAGCCTCGTACAGGAAGCCGTGAATGTTGAGCGTAGCGTAGTCTAGGATCTCGAGCGACTCGTTCCCCTCCGCTGTAAAGAGTACGCTCCTGAGAGTCATGATCCATTCAGCCTGCCGTTGCTTCTTCTGCCGGTCGGTCCTGAACTGGAAGAAGAATCGGGCGCGGTCCACCATCTTCCTGCGAGTATCCACGGCGATGGTGATGCTGCCGCATTGGATATTGCCCACATCCACAATATTGATCGTCGAATTGGTGGCCACGACGTCTACCATGCGCAGCCATTTCACCTGACGATGGATGCGCTTGACGCGGTCCTTCATTTCATCAAGTGTTTCCACGTCTGGCTCCTCGTGCTCGACGCACCGTTCCGTCGTAGCTTGGGAAGGTTGAGCAGAGGCTTCGACGAAGAGTCGTCCGATTGAGCGTCGGTCTCCTCAGCTGAGCTCTCCTCGGCCCGTTTTCCCTCGAGTTCTCTGACATCAATGGTCACAGACAGCTCGCTGATGACAATGCTCAGCCATGTTGGTTGGGAAAATGTAGGTCGGTGGATGGTCAGGCCCAGACCTCGGATCTCGACCTTGAAGCCATCCTTAAAGGTGTAGGCGAGTCGTCGGAGGGAGAAGTAGCCGACTCGCTGTATCGAGACACCGGTGATGATTCGAATGACGGCGAAGAGAATGAAAGAGGACAGATAGAGAAGAACGACGACGCCAAAGATGAAGGTCGGATTGAGGAGCGCCATGTCGGCCGGCAGCAGAGGCCGGGGAGGGTCCTGGCCTAGGGCGTGAGCCAGCTGTTGTTCGAGGGGAGATCGTAGGGCTGAGTCGGTAGGCGTAGGTTTGTGAGGTCACGAAAGTACCACGTCCGACGTATTATGTTGGCCTCTGGACCGCATCGTGTACCATGTTCGAAAGTCTAGGTCGGCTGTACTCGATATCGATGAGGTTCGTCGTTATGGGGTCGTGAGCTTTGGGTGGAAGCTTGTAGTGGCGTCGCAAAAGGGACGGGGAGCGAGGTGGGATCTATTCATCTGGGGTTAGTTAGCTGGCGGCCAAGGAGCGAGGATCAGGGCAGACGCATGTCTAACGCATGCGCGCAGATAAAATGCG